TCTATCTATCTATCTATCTATCTATCTATCTATCTATCTATCTATCTTAAAACAGGGTCTCCCTGTATAGCTTTCACTGCCCTGGAACTCACAGAGATTTGCTTGCTTCTGCCTTAGGAGTCCTGAAATTTAAGACACACGCCACCACACAGACACACGCCACCACACAGACACACGCCACCACACAAGGCTTAAACTTCCAGATATTAGAAAAAGAAAGTGGAATTAAAAGTATAGTTTGGAGTTGAGGGTAATTTCCCATGCTAATTTTAGAAAACCATTTCTGAGAATATCTACAAGATTGAGAAGGATTGCAGAAGACAAAGAATCTATGAGCTTGTATGTGAGGCCAGAGGACTCATGAAGAGGCTCGAAGAGGGAGCAGAGGGAAGCTATTTTCATTAACTTGTTTAAATCAATATTTTTTTTGATTTAAACATACATTCACATAACAGCATGACGTTTTAGGCTCAGAATATACAGGAAATGTGCAAATCTTTCATTTTTATATTTATTTTTAGGATTTTATGTTTGAGTGTTTTGTCTGCATGTGTGTATGTGTACCATGAGGATGCCTGATGCCTGCTGAGGTCAAAAGAAGGCATTGGATCCCCTGGGACTGGAGTTACAGATGGGAGTGATATTTGGGTGCTGGGGTCCTCTGCAAGAGCAGTAGGTGCTGCTCTTGACCGCCGAGCCAACTCTTAAGGCCCTTGAAAATCTCTTTATGAAATCTTCTATTGGTAGAAAGCGCCATGAAATAGCCAAGCCTTTACTACCCAGCTAAGTTAACATAAACTGCATCTGTTATTGAAAGCCTTCCCCAGCTCTTATTTATGCAAAAAGCATTTTAAAATTCAGGACCCTACCACACGAATAACGAATGATTCTTGATTGCTTTTGCAATATGTATTCATATGGCTTATTATTGTTTCTCGGATCCCTAGAAGAATAAGTCCTCTTAACCTGAAATCTGTCACAAGTCCAGGCCACATTTCTTACCTACGTTGAGAGAAACAGGTTTTTGTTTGTTCCTTTTAGACTTTCACTGATATATTCCCTCTCATTGCTTCACCCTCATTCTCTGTAAATCTTTTATTCTTGCTGTCTTCTTTCATTCAAACGACGCCAGGTGCTCCTTTTTTTTTTTTTTAATTATCTCATTCAAAATGGTGCCACGTCACCCACCGGGCAAGCGTGGAGAGAGGTGCTGTCATTTCTCCTGCCAGCGTGGAGCCCCGCCCTCTGCTGCTCACCTGCTCCGGGGTGGAAATGACACAGAAGCCACTGTCACGAGCTTGGGGCTCGGTTCCCTCCGGGACTGTCCAGACCCCCTCCCCCTCCGCAGAGCTGCCCCGCCCCTCCCAGATCCGGGTCCGCCGAGCGCATTGATTTGCATATTTCTACCTTTGTTCCCGGGCCCTGGCCAATCAGAGTGTGGGACGAGGCGGGGCGGAGGGGCGGGGCGTGCGCTCGGCGGAGCCGCTGCGGCCGCAG